TCGCAGATAACATGTTGAAAGAGAGAAAATCTTTCCCACCGACTCCAAAATGTATTGGAGCTGAAACTCTTTAAGTTATGAATTTAAACATTATATTCTACAACCCTCTCAAGTTACACCTCATAGATGATTCATTATAAATAAAGACTTGTGCCTTTCTGGATCTGGACTGAGTTTCTCGAGGAGCTTTGTTAAATGGCCAACTTTGGGCGATGTGTACATGGTATTTTAGCCATATATCAATGGGCAAATGTATAAATGGCTCCAATCTAGAAGTGAAGACTAAGATTGGTGTTCCAGTGGAGTTCCAGAAAGAAACTTTATTTTTTAAGAATTTTGTGAATTAGACTTATTCACAATAAGATGATTATCTGGATATTGTGGGTTACTCCGAGGCGTTTTCTAATTGTTCACAGTTGTCCTATATTTCGGTTTAAATAACCCCCCATGCACTCCCAAACAGGGGTAACGCCTGTTATTTTAGCTTCCATTGATCTCTTCAGGTTTTTTTCTCTGGACAAATAGCATCGCATAAAAAACCTGGCAATTTATAGCTGAAATGATTACGGCTCGTTAAGCATTATATTGAATCTTTTTTTAAAAAAGGTGCAAGAGTTAGCAATATTCATAGATAGGTTTCCAACAAAACTGACGTCAGTCTTTTCTGAGGCTGCATGCCCAGAATTGGCATCATAACCCGACGACTGACTATCTGAATGGAGAGAAGCCAAGATAGCTGTTAAACAATCTCTCTTTTCTATATTAAGCGATTACTTCTTTATTTGTATTGGTATAATATTGTAGAGTAGGGATATGAATAATGAATTAATTTGACAAACAATTATAGCACACCTAGTGACAAATGGAATTGATAAGTGGGCTAAATACTGTTTATCTACGCTCTTGTCTTCTGCTGTCAGATATTGTAGCAATTTTCACACATGAGCAAGGATTGCCCTGTGATAAATGACAGGTCGTTTGATATTGGCCTAAAAAATCACCCCCTGTATTTGTGTAATCATCATTGCAGTTTAGAGTAAGTTTTACATCATGTAAGATAGTGAAACAAACCGCTGTCGTTTGAAGTTTGGTTTTAATCAGTTCTGCATTAATGTGTTTTTTTGGGGGTATCTGAGGAAATATAGCTTATCGTCTATTGTAGCAGACAGCAGATTTGTTAGTCTAGCTCTGCACCGCTCGTTCCCATGAGGGCATGCTGCCCAGAACACCAGTGATATGCCACATATTACTTTATGTCAAATGTAATCTTGTTTTCTTCTTGCACTAAATAAATCTTCAGTCCAGCTCCAGGAACATTTATGGTTATACTGTAATAAAAAATAAACTGTTTGCGGTAAAGTGTAGTTGACATTTATCAGCTTATTTGTGGGCTCTATTGCTGTCTACATATAACACAAAACATAATTTGTCATTTTATAACTACATTTTGACCTAAAATCCTGCCAGCATCTGTTAGTGTACGAAGGATTAATGTTTTGTGTGGTATAGTACAGGACTGCATTGCTCGGCAGCATGACTGGGTCATGAATTGCAGCTTTATGTGAAGATTACATTTTTGGCAGCACGACAAACTGATTTAAAGATTTTTTTTTAAACCCAGAGAATTATTCCAGGCAATGCAGAAATGCTGCATTTTTGTCGAAGGGCGCTGAGCGTGCTGTGCAGATTCTACTGGGGGGGTTGTGATGTGAAGTGGACTTCTATTGTGTGATTTCTGTACTTAATTTCATGAATACTTCATTAAGTCCTGCGCAATGCAACGCTGTCTCCTGCTGCTGATCATTGAGCTAAGCGCCCAGAAAAAAGGGCATTTGACAGCAAGCTTTATGTGCTTACAGGAATACTTTCAATAGGTTTTCTGGACATTTCTTACACATGGAACATTGCCTGAGCCGTCATGCCCTGCAGTTGAAGATTACCCAAGACTTAAGGTTGAGGCAGTGCATTAATAAAGTCATCTAACACTTTGTAACTCAGAGATGAGTAGCTCTTCATCCGGGCGGCTTTTTTTTACACATCATTCCCAACTGCACGCAGTTTTGGCTGATTGTACTTCGGAGTTGTATCAAGTTAATTAAGTCCAGCGTTATTTATGGGCAATGCAACTGAAGGGAACATTGCACGCTTGACGTTCGATGTGCTGGCAGTGGGCACAGGAAACAGCAGGGAGAATGCAGCTATTGTGTCTGGTATATTTGATTAGTTAGGTCTGTGAAAATGCCTCTGTTTGTTCCTGCCCGGTCTGTTGCATGAAGCCACAAGTCTCCTCTGTTTAGATTAACAGTTAACCATTCCAACGCACAGCATTGAGTGACCAGCGTACTGGGGCGATCACAGGCATAGGGTTATAATGGCTGTAGAAACGGTCCTCAAAGTGACCTATTTGCTTCCAGTCTCGGTTTTTCTATTCATTAATTTATATTTTTATTTAGCACCAGATTTGGAATTTAACTCTTTGATTCTATGCCCCGTTTTGAACTTTCTAGGCGCATGTGAAGTTTCTTGTAGATTGGTGTCAGTTGCTAGCCTCTGGGCAGGAGGTCAGAAGGGTTCAAGTTCCTTGTTGGGGACTTTGGTTTACTCTGACACTTCAATGCTACGCTCTGGAAGCATTGCAGTGTTGGTGGTGCCATTGCTTGGGATGAAATGTTAAAACAACGTTGAACCGACGTCACATCTCCCTCTTCAGGTGGATATTAAAGAAAAGGGAGGGAAATTTCTCACTGTGTCCTGGACAAAGTCCTCCAATTAATCAGACATTCACCTTTTGGCTGTTTGTAGGATATTGTTGTGTGCAAATTGGCTGCTGTGTTCACCTACAAACACGCAGTCAGTACGTTTAAACAGTAACTGCTGCGAATTTAACTGCAGGTTTGGACTAATCTGGTTGTCTGATTGGATCGACTGCATATGCCAATTTCATTAGACTGAGAGGAAACTAAAGCCAAGAATAAAATGCCATGTTAACTGTTACCATGTTGTCACATTAACTGTGCTAACTGCATGGAGTCTGTTTACTTTCTGTTGCAAGGTTTAATTTTCAGGCTGTCATGATTCAACTGATAAACTGCCCGAATCGACTAATAAACCGCATATTTAATATTCCATTTGAAGAAGAACAGTCCGGGTTTCTTTTAAAGCAGGTCAAAGTTCGGAGAGCAATTCTTTTGGGTTTAATAGCTTTACTGCTTTCCTAGAGCATCGCTCTCAATATAAAGCGCCCTTTGATGGGAAGTTTATAATGAGACAAGTGGTTGCCCAACCCACCAAATAGAATCACATTATTGTTAATACTGAAGTTGCCTAAGAAAGAAATATTCAACGTGCTTTCTTATCTTTCAGGCTTTTAACTTAATTGCGTTTCGAAAACATAAAAGCTTTAACTTATGTGTTACCCTGTTTTGATCCAACTCTGCGAATAATTTGCATTTTGAAAAAGATGTCTTTTTTTGAGGGGGACATTAGTTGCTTCCTGGCCTGCAAATAATTGGAGCTGAAAGATGTATCATATTGTACTGTGGATTTGCACCCCCTTGTGTGGTCTGCTCTGCCAAATGGCGGGTTCTGAGTTGTGGATTAGCAGAGCCCGAGTAACAGTGTCTTGATGACGTGAAGAGCAGAAAAAAAAAAAACATATGGTCTAAGATTAAATACGTGTTCCAAAAGTATGCAAAAAAACCCAAAGAAGCCAGTGATGCATTTAAATCCAGTTCTTCATTTATTTGATTCTATTTGGTGGGTGAAAATCATCTCTGACAGCTTGCCTTGTCTCGAGATGTTTTGACGAAGAAGGTTTTTTGTCCCAATTTGATCTCATTGTTCCAGAATACTCTCCCAACTGTCCTCCCATTACAGCAGCCAGCAGTCTGTTTTTAAAATAACTCCAGTCGTTAATTACCCTGTGAGTAAAGAAATACTTCCTGGTGTCTGTCCTGAAATTGTCCTTTGCAACTCTGAACCTGCACCATTTTGTCCTGCTGTCTCGGCATGTCTGGGACCTGGTTGACTCTCTCAATCCCATTTAACGCCTATATATCTCTCTGAGACATTTCATTCAGCTTGGCTTTACCCTGCAACACAAGCTGGGAGAGGCCAGTCAGTAACTGCCTGGTGTTGGCCAATATGATAATGTTCTATAAATCTCAGCTTGCTGATAACCTAGTCTCTAGACAATCTGTATTCCTTTTGATATTTATGAAGCCGGGTTGCTTTTGACATAAAAATGAAGCTTTCAGCAGCGATTTTAATCTATGGGAATAAAAAAAAACTTAAGGCAGGGTGTAAACGAATGAAGATGGGTTGCTTAGAAGCTGAATAAAACAACAGTTAATCTGGATTTCAACACTGTCCTTATCTACTCAGAACCATATTTTATGAACACCCAGAATGTAATGAACCATTGAGAAAGCGTGTACTGCGAGTCGCAGTTTAGAAAAGCTTTTAAGAGCAGTTGTTTTGTTTTATGTTAACTTTCCTAAGTGCACTTCTTTCTACCGCGTTGTGTTCCAAATGTGTATTTACACAGCCGCTCAAACCTTAGATTGCTGGAATCACTTGAGTGAATTTTCTTATACCCAAATAACTCATCCAGGACTCCTGCTGTAAGTAAGCCTGGAGTGCCGTGGAAAGAGCACATTACCACGCTCAAAATGCCTGATAAAGAGAGTGACCAAGAATGCAGAACTTATAATTGTAAAACTGACAAACTGCCTCGTGAAGATTGTCACTAAGCAGCTGAAAGTATTCAGCCTCCTGTTTTACGAGCCGTGCAGAGAAGTGTTTTGTGTTTTTACTGTGCTCATTCCGTTTAGGCTCTTGTTTTCTAAGAATACAGAGCTTGGCCGTGCTCCCAAATTTAATGGGAGAATGCATTTTTCAAAGCTCATGCCAGTCTGCGTTTTTTAAAAAATATTTATCAGGAAGTGAATGCACTCTCTATCCATTTGCCCATCTGATTTTTCCCTTTTGTTTTATTTCAGCACAAAGCCAAGGTGGAAGCTATGACCCTTGATCTGGCTTCCCTGCTTAGCGTGCAGCAGTTTGCAGAAACCTTTAAGGCTAGGAACCTGTAAGTAGATCTGATGATTTAGTACTTGACGTTGCCATGTTTTCATTCTATTCCTCCACTGGCCTTTGTCCTTCCTCTCCCATGTTTTTTCAAGTTCGTTGTCACATTGGACAAGATCGCAGGGTTTGGTGTGTTCGTTTCCTTTTAACAATAATCTTTCACCTCGGGGATTTAAGCTAGAATTTAAACTCATAAAGATCACAAAGGAGGTTTGGATGAAGAAGGCCCTTCAGCCCATTCGAACTCCTTTCACAAATCACGCTCTACTATCCAACATCCTGGCAGACCATTTACTGGGGGCAGGATATCTCCCCATTCTGTACCCTCGCGAATAGGAGTAGGCCATTCAGCCCCTCGAGCCTGCTTCGCCGTTCTATTAGACCGTGACTGATTTGCACCTCAACTCCAATGCAGATCAGCCATAATGTGAGGGGCAAAGATTGTTCTGTGCTCACCTTCCACACTGCCTGACCCGCACATTTTACGTTCAGATAAACCAGCAAGCAAGAGCAGTGAATCTTGTTTGCATCCAGTCCACACGTGATGGGAACTTGAGACACAAGAAATCGTATTGGGAATAAAAGGAAATGTAAAAGTTATGTAAATTTAAGAGATCTTATTGCAGGTCCCTACTCGAAAACAATTCAAGACTGGCTGAGAGCTCTGTGGTGTTCTGTGGTTCTTTTACACTCTGCCTTGCACCTGCGAATAGTTGTTTTAAGAGCTAAACATTTGCAGTGCGGTCGTGGAGTGAGTTACAAATTCGATTGGAAAAAAAAACGAATTCGCGTCCTGACCTTGAAACCTCTCCGCGGTCTTGCCCATCACGACCTTTGCAATTTCCTCCCACTCGTGCTGTCTGCTTCTCCCACTCTGATCAACTGCTCATTCCTCGCCCCCTTTGTTCCACCAGCCATCGTCGAGCATTCTGCCACAAGGCATTCTCTGGAACTCTCCCCAAATCCCATTGCTTTGTGAGTTTTTTTTCCCTCCTTTCCCTCACAACTCTCATAAAAAAGAATTTCTAACAGTGACTTTGGTCAACATTCTCAAGTTTCCCCCCTTTCTTCCCTCCTTAATAATCTTGGCAAAACACTTTGAGATGTTATCTGACTTCAAAAGCACAACATAACAATATAAGTTATGAACAGTACAAGTTCACCTTGTTGTTCGAAGAAAAAATAATAATCCTCATATTTGTTATAGTGCCTTTCACATCGGATGATGCCTCAAAAGTGCTGCACAGGATTTTTGCTGTTAAGTGTAGTAACTGTGTATTTGTAGGCAAACGCAACAGCAGGGAGCCTGTCGTTAGTCCTAAACCTAATCCAAGGCAAAGATGTCTTTGTGGCGATCTCGTCTGTTCATTCTTGTTGTTCATCACCTCGTGAACGTGCAGTCTCACTTGTTGTACACACCAGTCATCCAGATACTTGTCCACAGCAGGAACTAGGAATTCAGGCAGATATAATTCTAGACCGGTGTCATCTGCATTGTAATCGCTGGTTACAGAATGGCATTGTTGGAGGCCTGGGAGCAAGTCTTGGCTGGGATGTGATGGGCGATGAAGGAGAGGAAGAAAATGGGATAAGTAAGGTAGAGATAAGAACAACAATACCTCCGATGAACCGTAATACTTCCCATTTTACGCAATTTCTGCTTCAAGTAGAGTATATCACCTTTCTCGGTGATGTGGACAGGGCATTCAATCACACTGCCCATTTTGCCGAGAGTCAGAACACTTTAAAAGTCTGAGCACTTCTTTGTGAAATATTTGTTATGTATTTTGTTTATTTTTTAGACTACACTGCTGCAGAGTTGGGTTAGATGGTTGTTGTGCAAGGATTTACAAATTGGCTCATTTGATCTGTAGTTTTATGCAACTTGTGATCCAGGCATAACCTTTCCTCACTAGCTCTGAGTTTATCACAATATAAACTGTAATGAAACTCCATCTCAAAGTGCAATGGTCTGTCAGTGTATTGCATTCCAGTGAACCACAGGATCTGAGAGAATACTTATTTACAGCTCCTTTACTAACAGATGCCTAAAATAAACGTCCTCTTTGCTCTTCCTAACTTAACAAACCCTTCACTATAGTCCTGGGTTTCTCCAAAAGCACTTTTAGATCGGGTTACGCTTCAGGGTGTTAATGACAAGACACAAGTAGTCCCAGTTGCCCAATTTGGCATTCTATATCAGGGCCCAAGCTCTCGTATCACTTTTTGATGGTGGGAAAGTGTGTGAGTGACTCCCCTCCAATGAACAATCTGAAATCACTCCATGTAAAGTGCTTTAATACACCTGGACTTTCAAAACCAGCGTCTTATTTGTGTAAGATTCCAACAGTAGAAACGAGAACAAAAAAGGTAGCATGTTGAATATCAAGAACCAGACCTCGACTAGCTTGCTCCTCGTACCTTGATTTTTCTTAACTGAATGATTTCCGAGCTGCTTTGTTTGTGAGTGCGTTTCCTTCTAAGTTCTGGACGGTGGGGGGGAAGTGGGGGAGACAAAAAACAAAGACAAAAAAAATTCAGTTTGATGAGTTGATAATCCTTTCGGGATTTCTCCACATAAAAAAATCCCCGCAGTGCAACAAGTAATTGAGTTGCTGTGGCCTATTAAAATAATGTAATAAAAAAATCTTTTAAACAGAGGCTCTGCGGGAAATACCTAAAGGAGGGCACAATTGACACAATCATTTGTCTAAAAATGGTCCTGACAGGGAAATAAGCCACTGCTGCTCTATTCACACATGCGGTATAAAAATAATTTTCTTAATATTTTCTACAATAAAATGACATGATCTTGGCTTGTAATTTTAAGAAACTCTATAAAGTATCCATATCTGTCAGAAGGCTAAATTAAATGGGAGCTACGTTTTGGCAAGAAATAATTATGTCTCCTGGATTTATTATAACCTATTAAGGAGAGGGTAGAGGGAAAACGCGTTATTAAATAGAATATTCACAGAGAGCTTCGAATGTCAAAGGTTCAAGCTTGCAGTGGATGGTCGGGATGATTCTAGGCACTGCTTTGTGCTCCAAACCATTGCTATGTACTGTGAGGCTCACAATTATTTTCTAAAGGTCTAAACGATCCAGTGAAGTCTGGCATCAGAACTCTGAGATCTGCCATGGATATGGAAGGGCGTTAATGGGAGATGTAATGGGTTGCAAGACACCACTTTCAGGTGGAGGTGGGAGGTAGGGGAGGGGGAGTGGGGGAGCAGCAGAGGCTATTGATGAGTTGTAGGGATTCCTAGTGGAGGAAAGCAAGAGAAAATAGTGAAAAACCACGATTAACGATTCACAAGTGAACTGAGTTATTAATTGCGCGAATCTTTCTTACGGGTGGATTAAACTGTGAAATTCCTCTGTTCCCCATTCTATATTGTGTTTATTACATGATGAGTGAGGGGCCAATACCGTTTCAAATAGTTTATAAATATTTGACTTGCCGTCATGTCATGCCTTTCTCCTCTGATCTTTCTGGATGAATTTTAGGGCTTCCTTGACAGTACCCTTAAGGTACATGTTCTCTTCCTTTTATTCTCCTTCGTTCCCAGGTGCCCAATTTAGCCTCCACTGTCCGAGCTGAGAGCTCTGCTCTGCTTATACCACTCTTCAACGGTTGCTGGGAAATGTGCCTATTGCTTGGATAACTCCCCTCCCAAGAACAATCTGAGATCAGAAGCACAATACTCCGTGTTGCTGTAACACACTGGTTCACCTCCAAAGTTTCTAGCTTCTAGGAGCATAGGAAAACAGGAATAGGAGGGTGACATGCGACTGTCAGTTTATCTTGGGCAGACCTTTTAATCCATCCTTTTGCTCTGCCCTCATATACCTCTCCTACACGAGTATCTGTCTGTCTCTCTTTTAAATCCATCTATGGGGCAGAATGTTCCACAGCTTCACAACCCTCTGCGTGAAGAAATGCTTCCTGACCTCAGTTTTAGTTCTGATTTTAAGCCTATGCCCCTCTGTCACGAACCCCTCCACCAGAGGGGTTGTGGATTATAGGGCCTCTGTTACAAATGTATGAATATTTCTCTAAAATGCAAAGTTGTTGGACAGCAGAAGCTTCAAATACAACTGAGCCATCTCCGGCAAAATCAATTTGTTCTTAATTTGGAAAGACGGTTCTCTGCCGTTCTTAAGAAGACGAGGCTTCCAAATTGGGATTGAATCTAAGAAGCAAGTTAAACTGATTGCAAGGATTCTCCACATCTGTTGCAATATTGCATTTTGAGAGAAAATGATCGTACAGACTAAGGCAAGGTGGAATTTCAGGCCTCAGGGATCGAAAATGTGTGTGTGTGTGACACAACTTTGAACGTTGTTCCTTCAATATGAATAGGATGTGTTTAGGAATAGCTCAATTTTCTCCAGCTTGCGATCTCATCTGTGAGAACGAAGGTTTTGCACTTCTGATACTTGGTGTTGACTTTTCAAACCTTAAACCAATAACAGTGGAAAGAACGACGGCTCTGTTTGAAGAATTACACCACATCAATTCTTAATTGGGTCTTTAAAACAAAAAAAAAGGCAGTACATTATCTGGCTGCTCTGATGATGAGATTAATCTGATTAAACTTTTATCAGAATGTGTTGATTTTATCTATTCAGCTGTGTTTAATATGTTCTCGCAGAAGAGCTGTATTAGTAGATGGCTGGATTGGACCGCCAAATGGTGATAGGGAGAAAAAAAATTGTTTTGACAGAAATATGGGGTGGCTTTGCAAACTTGGATGAAGGAACTATACGCTGTCCAAAAAGAACTTTTATTACCCAAGGTAGGGGACCTCTCTCTCTTGCTTCTCGCTCTGGGCTCTGACTGAAACTCCAGCCCCAGTTTCCTTTTGCGAAGCCTTTTTTTATTAGGTTACATTACTGAAGCATAAAATCGAAATTTTCCACCCAAGGCACTGAATTACAGTGGTTTGGAGTGAGAGTTGTGCAACATTCATCCAGTGTTTTTCTTTTGAGATTCAG